CACACCCAAACCTAACTACTTGAAAATGAGGAACTTTTCCTCCAAAGAAAAATAATCAGCTTTTTAAAGAGCCACAGAAAAGTCAACTTTATGCTCGACTCTTCAGGGCATTTCATATACTCAACGTTTTACTAAAGGAAAATTCTGTTACAGAAAATGTTTTTATTCATGAAATAAAATTCAGATGAAACACCTGCTCCCACAGAGAAAATCCTTTCAAAATAATGATTGTGTGCACACGAATAGAATGAAGACCTGATAAGTTAGAGTTAATGGAACAGAAGAAAAAAATATATATAAGGGGTAGAAATGATAAAATCATGCAGAGATAGAGTAAAATATTGGAGATTAGGGAAGGTCTTAGGGAAGGTAGAATAGGAATTAAATATGTAGATAACAGGTACCAAATCCAATGAAAACTAATGTGAAAACATGGAAGAAATGGTTCTTTTATAAGTAAAGTATAAATGATGTCAACTAACAGAAGTAGAGAATTCCAGTGGGTCAGTTACTGCAGAAGCTTCCACATTGCTTCTTTCTGTGAGCCATTTGATTTTTTATTTTATCATCATCATTATTATTTTATTTGTTTTGTTTTCTCTGTGTAGCCCTAGCTGTAACCAGTCCTTCTCTGTCCCTCTTGCCAGCTCCCAAATAATCACATGGAGACTTCTTACTAATTCTGATGAGTGCTCCGCTGTAGCTTAGGCTTGCAGATTTTACTAGTCTCATCCAGAAGTGTGTTAGGATGTGATGCTGCAAAGAGTGCTTTTCACCATCCTTCAATTTGAGACCTAATGAGTGTAATCCCTATTTTCCCTGTTTTTTTTTTTAATGCAATTGAGCTAATGTCATCCTTTCTGTCTCTTTTTGTTCCGTTTTATCTTTCTTTACGTGTTGGTTAGCATATATTAATTAGAAAAAACATCTACTTTAAAGACCACCATACTTGATGGGCAAATGAAAAATGTTGCTACCTTGGTGGCTAAGTACAACTAATTCATTCCATTCCACGGCTGCAGGAAGCTGCCAGGCTGCCAGCCAGCGAGATGATGTGGAAGCGTAAGTCTGCGTGGTCTTGGCACAGTGGTTTTTGCCATTTTTGTGTGCTCTAAACCTATGATTTATATGAGTTTACCACTTTAGAAAACACTTTAAAAGGAACCCTTCTGCAGAAGATGACCTACAAAGGTGCAAGTTATATGAGAATTGAACGATCAAATTTCATTTTTTTCCGTGAAGATGGTAATGAATGTGTAATTTTCAAATCCGCTGACACAACATCAATATCAAACTCCAAAGTTTGTAACTGTCTTAAGAATCCTTTGCCCTAGCCAGTTGATGGTGGTGGTGCACACCTTTAATCCCAGCACTTGGGAGGCAAAGGCAGGAAGATAACTGGGTTCCAGGACAGCCAAGGCTACACAGAGGAACCCTGTCTTGAAAAACAAAACACAGAACAAAACAAAAGAAAAAAGGATTCCTTTGCCCCCCAAGAGGACAGTGTGAACCTGTAAGCTGCAGTAATTCATTTGTTTCCTGCTGTGACTTTTCACTGAGATCAGTGATTTTTCTAAATCGATTTTGCCCATTTTGAATGTGATGCCTTTTTAAATTTATGTATGAAAAATGAAATGATAGCTGTTGACGTAGCTGGCTCCAGCAGGGAGCTGTTAGGAAAATCTTTCTTAATGTTGTTGTGAATTGTCTTAAGTTTGATTTAAAAGTGGTTTTTTTTTCCGTTTTTCCAGACAGGGCTTCTCTGTAACTTTGGAGCCTGTCCTGGAACTCACTCTGTTGACCAGGCTGGCCTCGAACTCACAGAGATCCACCTGCCTCTACCTCCCAAGTTCTGGGGCTAAAGGCATGCGCCACCAACGCCTGGCCTGACTTAAAATTTATCGTGACAAATTTTCTTTTTGAGATAAGTTCTTGCTTGCTGTGTAGCCCAGCCTGGACTTGAACTCATGATGTTCTTGCCTGAGCCACTTGAGTGCTGGATTTACAGATGCCTACCGCCATACCCGTCAAGACGTATTTAAATAAGAAGGTAAATATTGAATGTATGTGGGGAAGGCGGTGGATGTGAATGTCAGAAGACAGCTTGTGGGAGTCAGCGTTCTGTCCTTCGGCCGTGTAGGTTCCAGGGATCAGACACAGGCTTGGCAACAAACACCTTTACTGCCAAACCTCTTGATAGACCAAGCAGTCTTTTCTTATGCCAGACCACAAGATTTTATAACATCGCCTATTATATAATGCCTATCATGAAATATGATACCTATTATTGTTGTTTTATGCATACATAGACTGATAATTGTATTTCATTTATTAGCATCAGATCCAGGGAAAGCTTTTTTGTTTTTTCTTTTTAGTTTTTTTTTCTTTTAAGATAGGGATGTTATTATGTAGCTCAGACTAGCTTCAAGCATGGGGCAATCCTCCTGCCTCAGCCTCCTAAGTGCCGGAGTCTGACACCCTGTCCCCTTTCCAGGATCTTCAGAGTTTCTGTTTCACCAGGCACTGTGCTAGCAGCTTCACAGATGTCTCACTTTCGCAGCAACCTATACGTTGTACACCACACTTTCAGAGAGTATTTTATTATGTGTGTGGATGTACTGTCTGCACGTATGTCTGTGTATGACACACACGCAGTGCCCTTGGAAGCCAGAAGAAGAGGTCTGAATTGCTTGGGACTAGAGTTACAACAGACAGTCGGGAGCTGCCATGTGGGTGCTGGGGATTAAGCCTGGTTCTCTGGAAGAGCAGCCAGTGCTCTTGACCACTGGGCCATCTTTCTAGACTCTCACCCTTCTTTGGATGGAAAAGCTGTCTGACGGGTGTGAAAGCTGGGCTGTGTTAAATAGCTTGTGGGAGGTCACACGGCTATTAAAAGCGAGCGGTAGAGTGTGAGGGTGAGAAGTCCGGATTCCCTGACAGTGTGCTCATTTTTGTGGGCAACCTTACTCTTGGTAATTTCAACTGTAGCCACTGCCTAAGCGAATGCACTTCCTAACAGGCTTTCCACTCAGCCAATCCTCTTTGCATAGCCCACTAGACGGCCCTTGCACTTGGCCTAGAGGTTCGTGAAACTCTGCAGGATTGAAGTTGGGTCTTCATCGACTTCCTTCCCTCCTCTTCGTCACTCCCCACCCCCAGCTACACCCGCAGCCCAGTCTCTGCTTTCTCTCATCTTCTACAGCCAAATTCTACCAATTCTGTTTCTGAAAGCCCCTCAGTCCTTCTCGTCCAAATACATTGGCTCTGTCTGCATTATGAAGAGCTTCTCTAAAATCGCGAGTCTAAATCTAACTTCACCCCGCTAGCCACCTGTCTGCCTGGCTCCGGCTTCTCCACATCTCCCTCTAAGCCACTTCAAGACCCAGTGTGGAACCATGACTTGAAAGAAAACTTCCTTGATTGTCTCCCGCATGCCCTTCTTTCCGTGAGATGGTTCTTCTCTGTGTCACTACAGCACATGGTCTTCAAGTATGTCATATGGTCGTGATGTCCTACTAAAGGGTGTGTTTGTCTCACTCCCGTGCTGGGTTGAGAGGTCTCTGGGGACGGGGTTGTTATCTCACTTACCTTTATCTTTGTAGCCGCAGGCAGCTTATCTGAGAGATCAATAAACACTGGAGGGGGTGAGCATTCACCCACAGGCTCCTTAGGCGGGTCTGAAAGAGTCTTTGCACAGTACCTTAAACTTACGGAGTGTTTAGTATTAAATTTTGACTGCGATGTCTGTAAACTCACATGGTTGAAAATAATCCATGGAGATATGATTCATATTTGTTAAAAACAAATCTTTGTGTCCACAGGTGGCACAGTTATTGCCTAACCTGCATTTTCATTCATTTTGGCAGTGGCATCTTCCCCTGCCCTGCTGATAAGAGCCAGCACCTTAATTGCATGGTGATGTCAAAAGTGGACTCCGTGGAGCGTTGGCTTGAGGCTCAGGAGATTGGCATCAACACTAAGGAATGGACTGGCCTGTCTGGATGCGCTCTGCTTATCTCTTCCGTCTCCTGTCCCTCAGGAATGGCGACTTTCTGGGGGTAGGTTATTTGGAACCCTAAGCCCCACTCAGTCTGAAGCTAGATAGATACTCCTCCTAGTTCACTCATTTTTCTCGCAAATACAGATTTTGATCTTATTACAGCAGTGGTTTTGATTGAGCCGGCCACTTAAATCTTCCTGGACATCGTCTTTAAACTTATTTGTTTCACTTAAAATAGTTAGGACTTTGCAAGCTCAAACACCTCCTTTGGTAGTATGATTGTAGACCCCTGTTGTGTATTCGCCTACTGTCTCTTCCACAGTCCCCCTCTTTCCTCTGTCTCTGTCTCTGTCTCTCTCTCTGTGAGCCCATGCTGACCTTAGCAGCTACAGTAAAGTAAGGTTGCAGAGAGCCCACAGACAAACTGTTGTGCCAGAGGAAGATTCTTTTAAACCTGCAATGTTCAACAGGTCTGGGCCTGTTCTTGGGACCTATGGAGGCTGGCAGTTGAGAGTGAGGAGGCATGCCACCTATTGAAAACACAGTACTCATTAAATGTCCGCAGCGGTGGCACTCTACTCCTGTTTCTGGATTAGCTGTCAGATTGTCATTAATCGAGAATACAACTAGTTACGTTACTGGCGTGCTTTTCCACATCATTTGTTGACAAAGCACTTGAAGTGAAATCATTGTAAGTAAACTAAGACCTCTCCTAACTTGATTTGCCTACATCAGACGCACAGGGACAGACACAGGTACACACAGGGTTTTGAGAAGATGTGCAGGGGTAGAGTTTGGAGGGAGGTGAACAGGCAAATCAGAGCTGTAAGAAGTAGCAGTGGAAAGGTGGCCTGTGATGATCTACACAGAGAGCAAGCACTAAGGCCAGGGTGCCGCTTGTGGGTGGGCAGGAGGAGGCGCAATGGAGGCTGCTGCCCGCACCCAGCTCTAAATTCCAGCGGCAGCACCAGGTCCTGGCCAGAGAGTCACTGCCCTGCGCTCTGCCTGCATGGGATCGGACAGGGTTAAGGCCATCACCTGCAGTCGAAGTGCGACCCAGATGGGAAGTAGGAAGTGCGGCGCCGAGCTTCCTGTATAAATAAACGCTCTGGCTGCTGCGCCCCAAGCTGCTGGCTGGTTCTGCAAGGTTCCTGCCTGTCAAGACAAGGAGGCGGAGAGGGACTCCTCCTCTTCCCGAGCTGTAGGTCTGGGCGTGGAGTCCTGTGGCAATCCTGCAAAAGTGTAAAGCTGTCAGCCAGGCGGAGCACGCAGGGAGAGGGAAGAAAATGAGAGAGCCCCTTCTTCTCGGTGTGTCGGTTGCCCCGGCTGGCCCCGGCTGGACCTGCTAGAGAGAATCCAGCAGCTCGAAGACCTCAGCAGCCTCAGCCAGGTAGGTCTAGAAGGGGTGCTTGTGTGCAGGATGCAGGCGGTGCAAGACAGGAAGGCTGTTAGCTTAGGATACCGAGAGGGGCAGACCGAGGCTGTCCGGTGGTTTTTGCTAAATTCTGTTTCCAGAGCTTAAGCCATGCAGAGCTGCATGTATTCTGAGTGCCTCAAACACCTGTTAACTTAAAGAAAAAGTGCCTTTGAAAAGGTCAAAACAAATTAGTTTCATTTCTAATAAAATGGACTTTATACAATGTATCATAGATTGCATATTGGACCAGTCCTTTGGCGTATCTTGAGACTGACAGCATTGTCTTGGCTGTCTGCCTTCTGTTATTTGGAAATGCACGGTAATACGTGGACGCACAGAACTATGAATACCATGTCATGTTAAAGGCGGAGTCTGGGCTGTACATTATAGTGATTAATTTTTATCAGGTAATTGCTGATAGAAGAGAGAGGCTCTGTCCTGTCTTCAAGCTGATGTTAAAATAAAACTGACCCTGTTTTCACAGGGGAAAGGTATCGTGGCTAGCTCCTTCCAGGATTCCTTTTCTGGTGAGGTCCCTCATGCTGTGTACCCCCTTTACACTCCGAAGTCTGGGAGTACAGTTTTCTCTATGTTTCTACTGGGTTCGTCACTTTCTTCTTGCTTTCTGCCCCAGGTACCTTACCAAAGCATGAGCTGGAAGTCCTTGCACGATTTTCCGGTTTTTGGCTAGGCATTTCTGACTGTTGATTTGAACACGGGGAGGTAGGAACCGAAGCATAATGTTCTCAGCATTTCCCAAGCAGCGGATGAGGGGGTGTCTCTGCCCAGAAGCAAAATAAATGAACTTTGAGATGACTCAGGTTTTAGGGTGTGGGTAAAAGGCAGAAGGAGCCCAGCCAGTCTTCACTGGGTTGCTGGCAGTTAAAATATCTGCAGCAGCTTTCTCTGAGGTGAGCCTTTGGTCTCTGCTTCCATTCACGTCTGAATCCTCACTGGCTCCCCCTCCTCCTTACTGGGTCTTTGTAAATCTCACTCTCTCTTGAGGGCATCAGACACTTAAGCACTTCTGAAACTACCTTGAAGAGAAAGAGAGGGAGAAAGGAAAGAGATCCAAAGCAGATCCACAAAACCACTTGGCTGGAGACAGCTGTATTATGAAGTCCAAAGCTACCCGTTCACCCACCTCCTGTCCTTGGGTACCTTTGGTTGGCATTTTCTGGTCTGGAGTGGGTATCAAGTTGGAAATGGTGGAAGAAGGAGGGGAGGGGAGAAGAGAATTCTGTTTCCAAAGTACCTTCTAAGTGCCTGTCTGGATGAGTGAAAATAACAAATTAACATGTGCAGTGAATGTGAAAAACATGTCGGGTAGCAGAAATGGCACGGTTGGCTTTTTATTTAAAATAAACAGTAAGAGAAAACTTGACCTAAAATCCCCCAGACCAGTCACCCTAGATAACTCAGGCTTGCAGTATCATGCTGGAAGGCAGACTCGAGTGTGGTCAAACACCAGCCATTTACCCAGGACTTTACAAATATTTACAGTCATCGATGCCAAATATCTTTGTGCTGAGCCCCGAAGAATATTCTTCTCATTCAAAAGCCCATTCTCATGAATGGGTCTCAGTTCATTGGCAGTTTTATAGGCATCCAGATTCTTAAACTAGGTCAGTGTAAGACATGTCTTGTTTAAAATAGTCAGTTTTGGGATCTCAGATTATGAACCTATTTTTTTTTCTTGTGGCCAAATTGTACAGGCAAAGGGGAAAGTTTTCTCTCTCTAGAAAGAAAAAAGTTTATTTTATCTACCCAGCAAGATGATTTAGCTTCCTGGAAAATATCTTTCTTTTTCAACAGTGTGAATACTTTTAATCAGAAAGAAAAAAATGTACTTGCAATTTCTTTCTGGAAAAATTGTTTCCAATATTTTAGAAGCCTGGGAACATTTAGACACACTGGAAATTGTTTCTCTGATGTTCCCACGGGTTCCAGCCTTCTGTGTGTCCGCTGGCTCTGACACAGCCTTGTGTCCCTTAGGTAGACAGTAGTCGGGAATCACGCTGCCCTCAGAAAGAGCAAAGTCCAAACCGTTCTGGGTACTGACTCTGCTTTGTGTGGCTGATTATTCTGGACGTTGTGGAATGGGACCAGACTGTCACACAAGTCATGCCTGGCACTTTAAGGAGATTATCCGAAGCTGCTACTCCTCAGTTTACAGACGTTTGTTTCTTCTAGAGATTTCTGCCTCAACATGTAGACGCTTCCTAGTTATACTAACTTATCAATATCTTTTGTTTGATTTACTAGGAGTAAATGTGGACGAGAACCATGCCTTTAACATATAGTTGTAAAATTTGTCTGTTGTTGAGTGACTCTTTCCAAGGTTCTATGCTAGATGCTGGCTGGGAATATAAAGATGTGTTAGGTGTGGCAGCCTTTGTCCTGAAGAAATTGTTGTTAGTTTGGAACTGAGTTTGGATAAGGTGGCAACCTTTAATTTATGCTGTTTTTCCAGAATATGAGAACCATTTTGATGGTTTTCATTTCAGTCACGTCTCTTTGTTATTTGGTTTGTGACACTGTCTCCCTGATGTCACTTGAGACTGATGTAAGTTAGAGAGTTATGATCGCACCTACATTTGTTTGCTTCACTTTGAGTTTTGCAGTGCAGAAGTTTAAACCTAAGGCCTCGTACACGATAGTTTGGTCCTCTACCCCTGAGATATACCCTCAGTCTTGAACGTTGAATTTAAAAAGATGTATTACATCGATTGATTGATTGATTGTGTGTATGGAGGTCAAAGGGCAATCAATTTTCAGGCCTTTCACCTTGTGGGTTGTGGGCATCAAACTCCCATAGTCTGAGTTGGCAGCCATGGTCTTTGCAGCCGAGCTACCTCACCAACCGATTTTAAATGTTTTCATCTTTAGGTGAGCTGTTAATTTTGGACTAACATCTTTTCAATTGAATTTGACATTTGTTATTAACTAGTCATGGAGTAGTTCCAAAGCTAGTGCATCACACTTCAGTAGGTATTAAAAACAGAAAACTGGGGCCTGGGGACAGGATTGGTGATTAAGAAGATGTAGGACCCGGGTTTGTTTCTTATCGTACCCTTGGCAACTTATACCTGGTTGTAACTCCAGTTTGGGAATCTGATACCCTCTTTTGGCTTCTGTGGGCAACAGTCATGCATGTAGTATACACACATACATGCAGGCAAAGCAGTCATACACATAAAATAAGTAAGTCTGGAAAACAAAATAAACAAAACAGAAAACTACACTTCAGAGAATAAAAGTGACCAGCACTCCTCCAACATGGGATGAACAGCTCCTTGTGTGTAATTGGATTCCTTTCTCCTTCCTTATTATTAAAACACCTAATCTATTTGATGTACACGTGCCTATGTGAGTTTGGGTGCACTGTGTATGTGCAAGTGCCCATAGAGGGGAGTGGGTATCAGATCCCCTGGAGCTGGAGTTATAGCTGGTTGTGAGTCACCTACTGTGGATTCTGGGAACTGATCCAGGGTCCTTTGCAAGAGCAGTAAGGACATGTAACTGCTGAGCCATCTCTCCAGTCCCCAGGTTCCCTTAAGTGGAAAACACCACTTAAATCAAACACGTGCCTCATGTTCAGATCAGGAGGTCTCTCGGCTTGTCATATTGGTTAGGGACATGCTGTGGAAGGTTAATGTCCCTGAAGTCATGAGTTCAAATTAGCCCCTTTGGTTAACTTGTTCCTTGGGAAGTCAGAATAAGATAATTAATGCCTCTCTTTCATGGACTTGTGGCTGTGACCATAAATCCACAAGTTTTTCTTTTATGTGATTATATGGCATCATCTCCTGAGAACCTCCCCAGCTAGCCTCCTTCTGCATAGAGGGCCTGGGTTTTGTCACTTCAACATTCCATCACCTAACAGGTATGTCATTTGGTCCTTTGAGGCTTGACTTTGTTTACAGCATTATGGGTCCTAGTTATGAGATTATTTGGGAAGGGCAGGCAAAAATATATACCCTGAACCTTCTCCCATGTGTGAGGTAAGCATCTCCACTTCCAGGCTGGTCTCATGAAAATTTGTTTCTAATTAAAATGTTTGTGGAAGCTTACAGCCTTTACAGGGGGAGGTAATATTTACCTATGCTTTTATTCATTGGAGAAAAGTCTTTTGGTTTAGATGTTCGTACTTTGGTGACTGTGGTTTCCTGGTAATGTCCTGGTCCTAGAAGTCAGCCTGGTTCTTGTTCTGTAGGGCTTTCTAAACACCAGGTCTCCTCCATCTTCTGATTACATTATTGTCCAACCTGCCTGCTAGGGGCATTCGGGGCTTTATTGTAGTGCCAGGCAAAGGGAAGAAAATTATTCAGTGGGGCTGAATGAATAACTGTGGAGGAACCAACGCTTTAAAAAAGGGGTGGGCAGGACATGGTGGTGGTGAGGAGGGAGCTGCCTGGTGAATGTGAAACCACAGTGCCAAGAACAGTGAGCTGTGGCTCTCATATCCACTCCTACCTTCTTTGATAAGCTTATATTGTTAGGAAAGCTGGAATTAATTTCTACTTCTTGAACATCACCTTGCAGTCTATATAGAGCATGGAACAAAGACAAGAAAAAGGAATTGAGTTTTTTAGAAAAGGGAACAGTGTTTTGTGAAGGATAAAAGTAGATATCCCAGATGCACTATACTTAGGTGGGTTTAGGGTTAGCATCTCATGATATATATATCATGTCATGTTCACATAGCTCTTCCAATTTTTATTTTGTAGAGAAAACATTTTTAAAGTTAGGTTTCACTAAAATAGTTTCCTGAGCTTTATTCATAAGGGAATTTTAAATAGCAAACATAGCTTTAAAAATCAGTCCTTGTTGAGATGTAAGACACCCCTGGTGGTACTGGGGATGTAGCTCAGTTGATGGAGTGCTTGCCTAGTTTGCATGAGCCTCTGGCTCAGTCCTGGCACCACATAACACCAGGCACGGTGGTGTTTGCATAGAACTACCTTGCACTC